ATTAAAAATATAGTGTATCCAAACAATTATTACAAACAGAATACCCACCCCACCCACATGCAAAAACAAAACTAAAACTTTTTTATTTTCTTCTGACAATAGCACCTCCTAAAGGAAGAAATGCATCTTGTTCTTGCATTGGAGAGTTCAGTTTGTAACCTAGGACTTGCTTGTCCTCAGTGCACAGAAATTAGATCAATCTGATACCATATATATATATATTTAGAAATGATTTGGAAAATATTTGAATACCTTGTCTTAAAATATTTTATTCATCATGTTAAAATAAAATGTTTCACAATCAATTTCTTTTCTTTTCTTTTTTCAATTTTTCCAATTTTTCGGAAAAAACAAAAAGGCTTCAGGAAAAAAAATGGGAAAAAACTGGTTTTTCCCCAAATGTTTCCGTTTTTTTCCCGGGCCTTCACATCTCTAGGAAGGGGACAGTCCGTTAGGTCTCCGAGCGGCACATGGGCGGGTTCCTTTCATGAAAAGAGGCTGTGAGTCTACACTGGTTTGCTCCTCCGTGGAATTCCAAGGACACAACCAGCCTGCTGGGTTTTTCTTTGTCCCATCAACCCATGGTGGAGGGGGCGTCCTCTTCCCATCCACCCCCAGTCTTACATTTTACCTGCAGTGTCGGTCAAGGGCCCGGGAGAGCCGGGTTCAAAATCCCCACAATGCCATGAAACTCACTGGGTGGCCCAGGGCTGGTCACTGCCCCTCAGCCTCACCTACCTCGCAGGGCTGTTGCGAGGACAAAAAAGGAACAAGAGGAGGAAAAGAAGAAGAGGTTGGATTGATACCCCATGGCCCTTCACTACCCAAAGGAGTCTCATGGGGGCTTCCAATCGCCTTTCCCTTCCCCCTCCCATACAAACACCCTGGGAGGTAGGTGAGGCTGGGAGAGCTCTTTCGAGGACTGCTCCTGAGAGAACAGCTCTGAGAGAACTGGTGACTGACCCCAGGTCACACCAGCAGCTGCACGTGGAGGAGTGGGGAATCAAACCCGGTCCTCCCAGATTAGAGTCCGCGCTCCTAACCACTACACACCAAACGGGCTCTCAGGAGAGAGAGCCATGGATCCCGTCCTGACCTCAGTGGAAGAAAGGCAGGCTAAAAATGTCCTGAATCAAGGAACGAAACCATAAAATTACCCAGCTGAGTCGTGCCAGCACTTGGCAGGTCAGGGACAGGCTGGAGAACCGGTCTGTACCTTTGGTGCCGTCTTGGCCTCTCTCTGAAGTGCAACTAATAACTCTGGCATGCACAGGTATAGACACAGAGACAGCTGGAGAGATTTCTGACTGGGTACTTGATTTTGTCTTGTTCTGAACCTCTTGCCTGCTCTAAGCCCTAGGATGGTGGGGGGAGACTGGGGCTGGGTCAAGGCATATTGCTGCCCCCCTGCATCCTCCCCCACCCCCACCAGCCAGGTCTGAGCTCAGGAGCTCACCTCAGACCTGGCTGGCAGTAGCACGGGCCCAGGGGTCGATGCCCATCATCTCCCAGGCCACCGACGGCCAAGAGGCAAGCGGAGCCCTCTTCTTGAGAGCCAGTTTGGTGTGGTGGTTAAGCGGGCGGACTCTAATCTGGGAGAACTGGGCTTGATTCCCCACGCCTCCACATGCAGCTGCTGGATGACCTTGGGCAAGCCATAGTTCTGTCAGAGCTGTTCTCTCAAGGGCCGTCCTCGAAAGAGCTCTCTCAGCCCCACCAACCTCACTGGGTGTCTGTTGTGGGGAGGGGAAGGAGTTTGTAAGCTGCTCTGAGACCCCAAGTGAAGGGCAGGGTATAAATACAATCTCCTCCTCCTCCTCTTGTTCTTTTTTTTTGTGGTGTCTGAGGCAGCCACTTGGGTGGACTGAGTGGGGAAGTGGCCCTCAAAGAGAGAGGATAACGACTGAACAGAGGCCACACACAAGAAAAGCTGAGCGGTCGGGTAAGAATGGATAAAAGGAAGTACTTCTTCACCCAAAGCGTGATTAACACATGGAATTCACTGCCACAGGAAGTGGTGGCGGCTACAAGCATGGACGGCTTCAAAAGGGAATTAGATAAGCATATGGAGCAGAGGTCCATCAGTGGCTATTAGCCATAAGGTATAGCTAGGGGCTCTGGGGCAAGTGATGCTCTGTCTTTTTGGTGCTGGGGGGGGGCAACTGTGGGAGGGCTTCTCGTGTCCTGGCCCCACTGGTGGACCTCCTGATGGCACTGGTATTTCTGGCCACTGTGTGACACAGAGTGTTGGACTGGATGGGCCTTTGGCCTGATCCAACATTGGCATCTCTTATGTTCTTAACTCTCAGTCTGGGGCAAGGGATGCTCTGTCTTCTTGGTGCTTGGGGGGGGGGTCAACAGTGAGATGGCTTCTAATGTCCTGGCCCCACTGGTGGACCTCCTGATGGCACCGGGTATCTTTGGCCACTGTGTGACACAGAGTGTTGGACTGGATCCAACATTAGCTCCTCTTGTGTTCTTATGGAGCAGAGGTCAATCAGTGGCTATTAGCCACAAGATACAATGGTGCCACAGGAAGTGCCACAGGAAGTGGTGGCGGCTACAAGCATGGACGGCTTCAAGAGGGAATTAGATAAGCCTATGGAGCAAAGGTCCATCAGTGGCTATTAGCCACAAGGTATAGATAGGGACTCTGGGGCAAGTGATGCTCTGTCTTCTTGGTGCTGGGGGGGGGGGGCAACTGTGGGAGGGCTTCTCGTGTCCTGGCCCCACTGGTGGACCTCCTGATGGCACTGGTATTTCTGGCCACTGTGTGACACAGAGTGTTGGACTGGATGGGCCACTGGCCTGATGCAACATGGGTGTCTGTGAGCCGCTCTGAGCTGTTGGATAGGGCGGGATAAAAATCCCAAAAATAAATAAATAAATATGTTCTTATGTTCTTAAGAGATTAGGCTTGTATACGAAGGGGTCATTAGAGGGCCGGGCTGCTTGACTGGGTTTTGCGTCTGCCGCCAATCGATTTTTGACTCTTTTAACGGCACCGTTCTCATCAGCTGCGCTTCCCCATCACCCGGAAAAATTCCCAGACTCCATACAAACCCGATTCACTCCATTCAGGCCGAAAACCTGTCCGCTTCCACTCGTCCTTTTGAACCTGGCCTTGAGACGGGCCCCACAGAAAAGCATTTGCCCACAATGTCACCACCACCACCGCCGCCCAAGCAAACTTACCAAAGTGAAAACTAAATAGTACAAGGCTGTCGTGGGGAGGAGAAACAGCAGGATGGTAAATAGCAGGGTGCCGATGAACAGCTGGGGGAAGAAAAGAAAGAACGTGGTCCGACTTCAGCAGAGATTCAGTGTACAAAACCCTCAAAGCCTTCCTCCAGTTGGCGGAGACCTTCCTCCAACGGACGAAGCGCTGGGGCCAGGGAGAGTCTCTTTAGCTCGGAAATCCCTCTGACACTCCTAAGGGAGCAGGACTGCCTTAAAGCAACCCGGGCAGGGCACATTGGGCAGCAGGGAATGCCGGCTGAGTGGGTCATGACCAATGTTCCCTCTAAGCTGTGGAGTCTTGTGAGCAAAACTTCTACTTTGTGAGCTGCTGGCATTAAAGTTGTGAGCAAGCATAAATTAGTTTGCTCTGGAGCCCTCCTTCCTGAGCTGAGACAAAAAATGTGTGAGCCAGAGGCTAAAAAACTGTGAGCTAGCTCACACTGACTCAGCTTAGAGGGAACACTGGTCATGGCCCCCTCGTGAGCCTGCGGCACAGAGAGGACTTGAACCAGGGTCTTCCCAGTCTGGATGACATCTTGAGCCATGAATCTAACTTTGCCCCCGGCACGCAAGGGGACCCAGGGAGAATGGTGAACAGTACCAGGGGGGCTCACTAAGAGGAACGCTTGAGCAGGGGAACCAGCGACATGTCTAAGAGAATGAGTGTGATCTGGAAGGTCCTGGGTTCAAATCTTGCTTTGGGACTTTGCCCAGGTCTCGCTCGGACCAGATTTTCAGTGGGTAAAACTGTAATGCGACTCAACCGACTTTCCACTTGGGATTTTGTTCTCTGAAACAGAGTGGAGCAGGCTCAAAAATACAGACGTGTCCTAATTTCGGTGGTGGTGGTGGAGGAGGCGGAGGAGGTGGAAGAAGTGGCAGAAGAGGAGGAGGCGGAAGAAGAAGAAGAAGAGGAGGAGGAGGACGAGAAAGAAGAGAACAGCTCTGAGAGAATTGTGGCTTGCATGTGCCATTAACCAAAGAGCTGGGGACTGCAGGAAGGACCAACTCGGCTGGTCTTGAGCTCAGAAACATCTGCAAATCTTCAGATAAGCCCAGCCATTCGGAGGAGTTACCAAGAGCAGCCCTGTGAAGATCAGAGACGGAGGGAGCCACGGAGGCCGAGAAGGCCCTCTCGGCCATCCACCTCTCCTGCGAGGTGTCTCAGGCAGCCAAGGGCAT